CCAAGTTCTCGAAGTGTGAGTTTTGGCTACGAGAGGTCCAGTTCCTCGGACATCTCGTTAACCAGGAGGGGATTTTGGTCGATTTGGCCAAAATCGAGGCGGTTATGCAGTGGGAGGTTCCGAAATCCCCCTCAGACATCATGAGCTTTTTGGGATTGGCAGGGTACTACCGGAGATTCATACATGATTTCTCCAAGATTGCAGTACCCCTCACTCGTCTGACGAGGAAGGGGGTGGATTTCCGGTGGCGCCCTGAGCAGCAGGGGGCGTTTGAGATGTTAGGAACCGGACCGGGTACACACAGCGGAAACACACTATCACACACACACAAACTCACGAAAATAAAGCAAGAAGAACACAAGGATTTTACGTGGTTCGGATTCGGTGCAAATCCTACATCCACGGGCTGCAACTAGAGAATTTTATTAAAACTCACAAGATTACAATTGGCTTGACACTCTACACTTGATGTTCTCTCAAGTTTTGCACACAAAATATGCAAAACATACATGCATATATATAGGTATATTTGTGAGCCGCAATATGCACAGGATTGCCGCAAAGATTGACTTTGAAAATTTTGTCATTCACATTAGCCGTCCAACAAATATTAAATAATTGTCCACCGACCATTTGAATATTTAATTCAAACGTTTGCCGACAACAATTGAATAATTCAATTGTTAAATGTAATGTTACATTTATGGCCCTTGAACTCTTACGAACTTGTCAATTTGTTCAAGACTCCATAAATCTTAACAATCTCCCACTTGGAGGCTTGAACAACATGGTCCGTCTCTGTCATCCAACTCCAGTAATCTTAAAACAACCAAGTCTTCCAAGCCTCCAGTTCCTAAGAACAAGCTAAACTTAGTCCCATTTCTCTAATTGCATCCGCCCCTCATCTTCAAGTACTAGAAGGGCCAGTTGAAGCTCTTACTAGCTCCAACTCAGTCGTGGCTAATCCCACCACCGACTCATCCTCTGTCTCAACCGGTTTGGACACTCCACCAGATCCAGAGATACACCGAGGACCACTAACACTCTCCAAACTTTGCAAACTTCCAACAAGAGAGAATTTTCCAGTCTTAGTCTTCAAAACCCAACGGCTCTTTGTAACTATACCCGGAACACACCCCGTGCTCCCACTGTCACAGAATCCCCTGAATGGTTTAGAATTTCCGACTCGTTCAGCTAACATCCCCTTGGCTCCAGAATTCATGTTTGCAAAATGAACTCTCTTAGCAGTAGATTTAGCGAACCAGATTTTGTTTTGCTTAATCGGGATGGTCATACTTCCCTCAGCAGGTACCTCAACCATATACAATGACCCACGCTTCATACCTTGAGCAATCACCGAATTACCATTGACCACCATCCATTTACCACCACCAAACCTTACTTCCAGTCCTTGTTTATCCAGCTGACCAACAGAAATCAATTTTTTTTCAGCTCCGGAATAACCCTGACATTCTTCAGGCTCAATGTAGTTCCCAATGAAGTAACTAGATCAATATCTCCCATGCCCGTTACTTGAAGCATCTCGTCATTTGCTAACCGTACCTTTCCAAAATCTCCTTTTTTTAGATTCACCATCGTTCCCCGTTGTCCATGGCGTGAAACGAAGCCCCTGAATCCATGACCCAAGAGTCTACAGAACTTTCCATACTGAGTATCAATGCATCATCCTCAGACACACTCTCAGCACCGGTAATGTTCAATTCTTTCTTTGGACATTGACTCTTAACATGTCCCACCTCCTGGCAGTTCCAGCACTTCACATTCTTCTTAGTTCTAGATGAACTTCTTCCCCGACTCCCACTGCTTCCACTATTCCTGCTATTCCCTCTACCTCTTCCGACATTTAATAAATCAGAAGAGGAAGATCCACCTTGATTCTCGCGTCTGATATCCTCGCCTAGAACCAAATCTCTAACCCCTTCAAAAGTCATACCACTGGTCCCCACGGAACTCGTAACAGCAGTAACTGTTCCGGACCAGCTATCAGGTAGAGAAGCTAGTAGCAGTGATGCTTGAGTCTCTTTATCAAATTTAATTCCCACAGATGATAATCTGGACAGAATTGAATTTAGATTGTTAATGTGAACCGTAACTGAGCCTTCCTCATTCATCCTTGTAGTGAACAACTCCTTCATCAAGAACACCTTGTTAGCCGCCGATGGTTTCTCATACATATTTGACAGAGCCTCCATCATACCACGCGCTGTGATTTCATTCATGATGTTGAAAGCAACGCTCTTCGTCAACGACAATGTAATAACCGCCTTGGCTTTCTTGTCCTTTGAGTTCCACGTATCTTCAAAAGCTTTTTCCATTTTCTCCGGTTTGTCTCCGAGTACCATGTCCAAGTCTTTCTGACATAGCAATGCTTCTAATTGCATTTTCCACCAGCTAAAATCAGAACCGTTGAACTTTTCGATTATAATCTTGTCTTCAGCCATTACGACAAACAAGATACAAATCAGGTACACTCGTGCGTGATAAAAAAAAACGATCGTACCCTCCAAACCTCGCTAATCTAGCTCTGATACCAGTTGTTAGGAACCAGACCGGGTACACGCAGCGGAAACACACTATCACACACACACAAACTCACGAAAATAAAGCAAGAAGAACACAAGGATTTTACGTGGTTCGGATTCGGTGCAAATCCTACATCCACGGGCTGCAACTAGAGAATTTTATTAAAACTCACAAGATTACAATTGGCTTGACACTCTACACTTGATGTTCTCTCAAGTTTTGCACACAAAATATGCAAAACATACATGCATATATATAGGTATATTTGTGAGCCGCAATATGCACAGGATTGCCGCAAAGATTGACTTTGAAAATTTTGCCATTCACATTAGCCGTCCAACAAATATTAAATAATTGTCCACCGACCATTTGAATATTTAATTCAAACGTTTGCCGACAACAATTGAATAATTCAATTGTTAAATGTAATGTTACATTTATGGCCCTTGAACTCTTAGGAACTTGTCAATTTGTTCAAGACTCCATAAATCTTAACATGAGACCCCTCCGACAGCGGTTGTGCGAGGCCCCAGTCTTGACACTCCCGGAGGGAGTTCAGGATTTTGTGGTGTTCTGTGATGCATCCATCACAGGTTTAGGGGCGGTCCTCATGTAGAGAGGACGAGTGATAGCCTACACATCGCGACAGCTGAAGCCGCATGATACGCGATGTCCTACACATGATTTGGAGCTGGGAGCGGTGGTGTTCGCCCTCAAGATATGGAGACATTACCTTTATGGGGTCCGTTGTACCATTTACACGGATTACAAGAGCTTGAGACATATCATGGATCAGCCGAACCTGAACATGAGGCAGCGCAGGTGGCTGGATGTAGTCAAGGACTACGACAACGAGATCCTTTACCATCCTGGTAAAGCGAATGTGGTTGCGGATGCTTTGAGCCGCAAGTCAGCTGGGTCTTCCACCCCCGCGGTATGTATGAGGATATCGGTGGCTTCTCCGCTTGTGAGTTTGATCAGGGATGCCCAGGTTGAGGGCATGCGACCGGAGAATTGGAAGCTGGAGAGGATCAAGGGTGAGAATACCCGGTTTGTGCAGGATAGTCGGGGATTATTGACCTGATGCGGTCGGGTCTGGGTTCCGATGTCTGGTAGGGTCAGGCAGACGGTCATGGAGGAGGCTCATAAGTCTCAATTTTCTATTCACCTGGGGGCCACCAAGATGTATCGAGACTTGAGTTTGAGTTACTGGTGGCCATGTATGAAGCGAGAAATCGCTTGGTATGTCGAGAGGCACTTGACCTGCAGGATGGTCAAGGCCGAACACCAGAGGCCGCATGGTAAGCTGCAACCTCTAGAGATTCCCATGTGGAAATGGGAACAGATCACGATGGATTTCATTACCAAGTTGCCGAGGATGGCAAAGGGATTTGATGCTATATGGGTCATCGTGGATCGATTGACCAAGAGTGCCCATTTCTTGGCTATTCGGGAGAGTTCGTCGGCCGAGAAGTTGGCCGACATGTACGTTCGGGAGATCGTGTCTCGCCATGGGGTTCCCGTTTCCATTGTCTCCGCTGTGGAAATGGGAATATATCACCATGGATTTTATCACGAAGCTTCCCAGGACCGCGCGGGGAGTGGACTCGATTTGGGTCATCGTGGATCGGTTGACCAAGAACGCCCATTTCATCCCGATTCAGGAGAGCATTTCGGCCGAAAAGTTGGCCGACATCTATATCAGAGAAGTAGTGGCTCGGCACGGGGTGCCAGTCTCGGTGATTTCCAACAGGGATGTGCGGTTCACTTCCAGGTTCTGGAAGAAGTTTCACGACGAGCTGGGTACTCGTCTGCACTTTAGCATCGCTTTTCACCCGCAGACGGATGGTCAGAATGAGTGGACCATCCAGACTTTGGAGGATATGATCATTTTAATAATTCAGCACAACAATTCAGAGGTTCCAACCAAACAACATGTTAAACATTCAGCTCTTAAAATTTCAGATCCTCTTAGAAATTCAGATATCTTAAAAATTCAGATCCTGCCAAACAGCCCGCAAAAAAACAATTGTCAACTCGCCTAGCTTAGTAATAATAATAATAATTGCCAATTGTTAGCTATTTTTTATAAAGTTATAAAGAAATAATGGCCATTTTTTTTTTATTTTCTAAAAAGAAATTATTCTCTTAAAAATCTCCCGAGGCTTGAGTCACATTGATTAGTTTTTTTGGAAACGGCAAATGATTAAATGGAAGCCTACTCGCATATTTCAATGAGCACCTTGAGCCACCTTGATTAGTTGACCATCGCGTACTTGGCCAAAACTTTTGTGGGTCTTCCACGTTGGCAATCCAAGTTAACACACAACAACCAATGAGCAAAAGATGTCACGCTGGCAATCCTTGAAACCCCAAGCAAACCAATGAGAGGCTTGTTTTTCCATTTCCCCTCCAGAAGCCCCACTATAAAAAACCACGTTCCATGTATCATTTCAAATATCCCTCCCATTCGCTAAAATACAAATTATCAAACCCTCTAAAATCTCCATTACCAACCAGAAATGGAATCAGCAAAAGCGAAAAAATCCGCCGGTGGAAGAGGCAAACCTAAATCCACGAAATCCGTCTCCAGATCTTCAAAAGCTGGTCTCCAGTTCCCCGTCGGCAGAGTTTCAAGGTACCTAAAAAACGGCAGGTATGCGAAACGCGTCGGCTCCGGTAGCCCTGTTTACCTATCCGCCGTCCTTGAATACTTAGCAGCCGAGGTACAAACCACTCCGTCTTGTAGATCCATTTCGATCTCTACAAAAACTTCATTCTATTAATCATCTGATATAAATGCTATTGTGATTTAGGTTTTGGAGCTAGCTGGTAATGCGGCGAGGGATAACAAGAAGACCCGGATCATACCCAGGCACATTCAATTAGCTGTGAGGAACGATGAGGAGTTGAGCAAGTTGTTAGGAAGAGTGACGATTGCCAATGGAGGAGTGTTGCCGAATATTCATTCAAATCTGCTGCCGAACAAAAAGGCAAAAGGCAAGGATGTGATTGGATCTGTTTCTCAGGAATTCTAGGGTTCTAATGTTTAGATTGAATAGGAATATGAATACCTTGAATTAGTATCTCATTTGCTTCTGTTTTCTGGTAAAAAATGAAACGACTTTTGCAGAATTCGTTTGTTCATTGTTTCACAAACATTTATGTGTTTGGTAATTCCTGCAATTGCGTTTGAATTCAGTAGATTTTTATGATATCTAAATGGACAGATCGTAAAACTTATCATTTATATAAGATAAAAGTCTTTTAGAATCGGTGTGTTCTCAGCTACGAGGATCTTACGCAAAGTTTTTTCAATTGTTAGTTTGAAATGGTAAGTTGATCAAAAATACTTTTAGTGCATTGATTTCTGTTTGTTTAGTACATACGTGAAAAATCCTAATTTCATATTTTGTTGTATACTGCACCGTAAAGCATTGTTAGTACTTTGAATATCTTGATGAACCGCTACTGAATGAACTCTACAAGAGATGTCAAGGAAGCTTAAGTCTGAGATTAACACCAAGTAAGAATTGAGGTTTGATATTTAGCTTCTAGAGAAACTAAATGAGACAGTCTAGGATTGAGGAGAATGTGAATCAGGAGTTGGAGGTTTTGAAGCTGAAATCATAAGACTGCGAGGACGGCGGGGGATTTTAAATAAACCCGAAAAAAAATTCAAACCCACATATTTAAAACCATTAACAGTAAATTCAATTAAAAAAAATATCAAAAATGTAATGGTAATATATTTAAAACCATTAACAGTACAGTTCAATTAAAAAAAATATTAAAAACGTAATGATAGTATATAGGAATGACAATTAACGGTGATGACTTTTCAAGAATGTTTTTGTTTAGAGTAAAATACAGAAATGGTCTTTGTGCTTTGGTTTGATTTTCAGTTTTGTTCCCTTGTTTAAAAATCAATAGATTGTATCCCTATGGTTTATGATTATTACACTTTTAGTCCATGTTTCATATAAAAACATTAACTTATTCTTCCTTTTTCTTTTTTATTTTCTTTTAACAATTTATTATTATTATTATTATATAACAATTTTATTTGTTCTTTATTTTAATAGAGTTTGTATAGATTTCATATAATTTTTTTTTTCAAATTAATTATAAACTTTTCGGTTTAAATTCGAGTTTGTTTACGTTTTGAACAATAAAAAATAACGATCACAAACAATTAAACGAACAACAAAAAATATAATATGATATTTTTTCACAACTATAACAAATAAAATTATCATTTTCAATTACCACCGTTTTGTCAAACACTGTTATATTTTAATTTTATTAATTATCAGGGACATCAAGTACATGAATATTGCAATTATTACGTGGTGCATTCGGTGGAATATATGCATTAAGTCGAGCATTGTACAATATTTCTCATCCAACGACACGTTCTGATCTGTGGTGACGCCAAAGTGACAAAACTGTAGATATTGGATGTGATTCTTGTAAATCAACTTTTACGTAATGACCATTATAAAACGAAGACGATAACAATAGATCTATGATGTGAAATGTCTTGCGGGCCATGCCAAAGCGGAAAACATGTCGACGAACCTTGTTTGTCTAAAAAATAGACGATTACACCATACTTATTAGCAATGAGGAATCCAGTATTCGACATAATCAACCAATATTCACTTTGTGCATGTGACATCCGCATTTTCACGGTCAGAAAAGACCGGTTTGTTTATGCTTTGTTTTAAAATCAGAGTTATCTTTTAAAGAAAACAGTTGCGGAATTTGTCCCAAAAACAAAATATGATAACCATTTATCAAAGCATTTCTTTTAAGAAATGTATTTTCATTAAATAACCAAATCTCGGGATGCCATGTTCCGATACAGACCAAAAGCATAAACAGTACAATACAGACCTTACAACAGTTATTTATAACTACCGGTCTACAATCCAAAATCTCTCGTCAAGTCATCCGACTTATACTCTTGTGTCATTACCTGTAATACAAAGAAAACTGAGTGGGTCAGGCTTGAGAGCCTGGTGAGCATATAGGGTTTTCAACCCACAATAAAATATTATATTATATTTAATCATCAAACCATCAACTCAATTACCCATCCCCATTATCTTCTTTATTTCTTAAGGTTTTACCCTAAGAATCAACTATCCTTCATTCATTCATTCCTAAGGATTGACCTAAAGAATTGGCACAAAATCCATTGCTACATAAGGCGCATCTGCCAACATTATCCTTTAAGCGCATCTGCCAGGATTACGACATTTTCTATTTGGCGCATCTGCCGACCTTATCCTATAAGCGCATCTGCCAGGATTATCCTATAAGCGCATCTGCTAGTATTATGACATTTACTATTTAGCGCATCTGCTAGGATTATGACATTACTATTAAGCGCATCTGCTAAGATTATCTATTACATCTTTCATACCACATCACTTATCTACCCATGTTCTACCCAACATATTAGTAGATATAAAATGCATATACAATTTAACTCATTTAAAAACCTGTATAAAACATTCATTCCAACAACCATCTCAAGTAAACAAACAACGTATAAACACATAGCACGTATTTCATAGCAAATACTTCATAACTATGCGGTAGAAGAAAGTAACTACACACTCACACATATAAACAACTTTATATTATACACATAGCACGTATTTCATAGCAAATACTTCATATCTATGCGGTAGAAGAAAGTAACTACACACTCACTTGATCAGAAGATGATCGGACAGCACTACGACTCTAAGAGTAGTATTCTTCGGTGAAACCGGGAGATCTTCACATACCGGGCTTCTTGCGGGCAGAGCTTCGGCTCGAAAACTCTTTTCTTCTCGGGATCTTCGGGCTTCGGGACTTGCTTCGGGTCTCGGGGTTGATACCGGGGCTTCGGGGGTACTTCTTTGCACGTAAATCGAGGTAATATGAGTGAGAGAGAAGAGATTTGGCAACCACAAACGGCTGCCCCTTCAAATCTATTTATAGGGCCGTTTTCTCATTTTCCACGTCGTGGGCACTTCTTCCACGTCGTGGGCTTGGTCGTCATTGCATGCGTCATCGTCCACTTGCTCTGTCAGGCTCCAGAAGGCGTCAGAAGCCATGCCACGTCGTGGGCACTGTTTCCACGTCGTGGTCTCTGACAGTGTTGGGGTTTTGCGCCCGAACTTCAGAAATTCATAACTTTCGCATACAAACTCCGTTTTCGACGTTCTTTATATCGACGCGTAGGTAAGAACAAGATCTACAACTTTCATTTAGACTCCGTCGGCTAAGTTTGACTTTATTTTTATTATATGTTTATTATATTATTTTTAGTAGGTCGGGACAGGAAAACTCCGTTATAAACTCATAACTCCTTCGTCTGACGTCCGTTTTCGTCTGTCTTTCCGTTGTTGCACTACTATCGATGAGATCTTCAATTCTCATTTAGATTGTTTCGGCTAAATATCGCTCGATCTCATATTCGAACTTCGGGCTGTACACTGCTAAGCCGAAACTTCGAAAAATCATAACTTCCTCATACGAAGTCAGATTTAGACGTTCTTTTTATGCACGCTCGCGGTTTAACGTATTCTACGACTTTCATTTAGATTGCTAAGGCCAAATATCGCTCTAACGTAAATTCACTATTTACGTCGCGCTGTGTCGTGCCGGTTCTGTCGCGAAACTTCGACATGTCATAACTTCTTCGTTATAACTCGGATTTCGGCGTTCTTTATATTTTCGGAAACCTTGAGACATATACTACAACTTGGTTAAGATTAATCCTTCTAAATAATCTTCCATCAAAAAGTCATTTTTGATGCTTATCGTTTCTAAATTGACTAGCCCGGATCTACGAGCGTTATAGTGCAGAACCTAATCGAGTGAAACTCAACGAGTGATGTACGTTGTTTATATCATACTGAAAAATCACTGCATATTGGCCCCAATTTTCTAATAACTTGTTGTGTAATTCTGAGCGGATTTGACGCCAATAATTTTGACTATACCCGAGGGAGACAACTATTGCCCGAAATCCACAATTTCCATCTCCCTCCACATCTTCAATGTTTGTAACGTATGGATGAAATTCATTTGGAATTTCACTCATAAGTGAATTTGAATAAAATGTTGAAGGTTGTTGAAACGAAAATGTATTGTGCCTCTCTGGTTTCTGGTTTAAATCAAACTGATTAGACTCATCATAATCTGACATAGACGTCGCAAAACTATGTCTACGAGGATATTGAGTCGTTGGATCTTGAGTAGGCGGAACAGTAGGTCTTGTTTGTGTACTCAACCGCGAACGTCCACTTGGTACTTTTTTTTGTGAGAAGTAGGTCCCCGAAGCGAAGTTGTTGATGGTGAAAATATATCTTTTAACTTCCGCACTAAAATATAGTTATATTATTTTGATTTGATCGTAGTGGTATTCATTTACAGCGCACTAAAATAAAGATAGGGTATTTATTGTAAATGCAGGATAAGTTAAAGGACCGTAAATATAAATATAGTTATATTATTTTGATTTGATCGTCGTGGTATTCATTTACACTGCTATAAAATAAAGATAGAGTATTTATTGTAAATGTAGGGTAAGTTAAAGGACCATAAATGTAAATATAGTTATTAGCTTTGCCTAATATGAAAAATATCATATTTCCTATGTTTATATTCAAAAAATGAGAAAAAACATTAAATAAAAGGGTGGGGTCAATTGCACAGTGATGAAGATAAATGGAAGGGATGGGGAGTGTTATTATCTTTTAATTTTATAAATAATTTATAAATAATAAATTAATTAAAATAGTTAATAAGGACATAACAGTCTTTTTAGGTCGTACTAACCGCACAACAAAAAGATGTAATAGGGACCATCCGAGTTACGAAAAAAAGTTAGGGACCAAACTCGTAAATTATCCCAAACCACAGGGACCATTCGTGTGTATATGTGTGTGAAAAAGTTTAAATATCAATATATTAATAATATATTAATAAGGATTGAATGTAATTTATTTAAAATAGAGAATGATATAAACTGAAAATATGTTTTAACTATAAAAAGGGTAAAAATGTTAAAATTATTTAATCTTAGATAATAGATAATAAAATAAAAAATATAAAGAATGGGTAAAATAT